AGAGAGAGAGAGAGAGAGAGAGAGAGAGAGAGAGAGAAGGGCTGAGCGATACAAGATTGGTTACCACGTACCTGCTGCGCTGAAGATTGGTTGTGCGGTCCAAGAAGAAGTAGCGGCCATAGCCGCAGGGCTCGGGACACGGAAGAGAGAGGGAAGAGAAGCAGGAAGGAGGAAGGAGGGAAAACGAAGGTGAAGACAGACATAGCCGGGGGTGTACAGAAAAAGAAAAAGAAAAAAAGAAACAGCGAGAAAGAAGAAGGGTGAAGGAGGAGAAAGAGAAGGGAGATTGGAGAGGAAGAAGGTGCCGGCAGCCACGACCGATCAGAGGGTTGATCAGAGCGTTGACCGGGGTTGGACCACATTGACCAAGGCGTTGACCGGAGCTGCTGACCACGATTTTGACCAAGCTGGAGTTGGTATAATCTCGCCGAGCCCTCAGCCTATCCCCCCGCCCTATGGATGTGCACTGTTACATACTCCAATGAGTATGGGCAGAACCAAGGATCAACCAATGTAGGATGAGCATATATGCAACGGAAGTCTGATGAACGGACTGACTCACATAGACTGACTCACATAGCATCACTCCACACACATACAATCGTGAGGTGTGGGGTCTGAGCCATACATAGAAGATGCTCAGCCCCGCACACATACACAGATGAATGGGGGAGGAGAGACGAAGAGGTGGGGGGAGGTAGACAACACCGAAAGTCACCGAGATAGAATCTGATAGGTCACCGATATGGTAGTCCAAAATGTCATCCAACAAGATCAAAATGTCGAGGACCATAGGTCACCCATGTCAGGGATACAGAGTCCAAATGTAACCGGTGTCTGAACTGTGATGTCGCCAAGTATCAACCCCAACGATCTCCAAGTCTCCAATCCGGTAAGTACCACAGTCTCATACCACCGAAGTCCAACACTGATCTCTGTCCAACTAGTATAAGTCTCCAATCTGAAGAAGAAGAAGAAGAAGGAGAAGAAGAAGAAGAAGGAGAAGAAGAAGGAGCCGAGGAGGAGAGAGAGAGAGAGGGGACTGGCGATGGGAGGGAGGAGAGAAGCCTCCAACTCCCAATACCTCAGGCGGCTATGGCCGCCGGTAACCCAGTCGCCGCTGCTGCTGCTCCGCTCGCTGCTGCTGCGCAAATCTGCGCTGCGCTGTTCCTCGCTGCTCTTGCGCTAATCTTAGCGCCAGCGCTGTATCGCGCTGTACCATACCGTACCGGTAGAATGCCGGTCGGTAGATGCCTCGAAGTGAGGCCGGACCAGTACTAAGTACTGGTTCGAAGAGGACCAGCCTCACTGCTGCGAGGCCTTGGTTGGGGCTGAACCGTCCAGATCGACGATTCAGGTCCAACCGGAGAGCGGCAGCCTCAACGGCGCCGTCAGGCCCAAAGACGAAATGTCATTTGGGCCTGGTCCGTAGTCGGGTCCAAGTCGTGGCCTTTCGGCCTGTTATCTCCCAAGGTCGGGCCTTTAGGCCCTGATGTGTCCCTCTAGCCCTAAGTCGGGTCCGGTAGGACCCGTGTGGCGTCGAAGATGTAACATGCACTCACCCTATGGTACTTTCTGAGTCTGAGTCTGTCTGTCTCTTCTTTCTGCATTGAGTCTCTTCTGTCCAGGTGATAGGACTCCGTGTATGAAGGATAGGGCTTCGTTGACCAAACCCCTGCCGGCAGAGTAGGGCTAAAGACTGTGTCTGACGACTCGACTGTCCCGGAGGCCTAACCCTCCCAAGGACCGGTACTGACCGGCGGGCTGCTCGGTGTGGCACGGTAGGCCCGAAATCTGAGCTGTGGGCTGCACAACGGGCCATCTACGTTTTGAGAGAACCTGCTGATCGCGTCGTCCTGTCTGCGACGTTAAAGAATTCTTGAGGAGTTACGGGGAATCTCCTTAAATGCCTCCTGATCAGCAACAGGGTCTGTAGTGACGGCTGTAGTTTAGAGTCTAGGCTAGTGCCCCTAGTTGACAGGGTCTGAACCGGAGTGAAAGCCAGGTGGGTTTGACCGCAGGTGCTGGGCATCTGGGTCTGGATTGCAATGACTGTGGTTGCAAAAACTTCCGTCGACCGTGGTAATCTGGATGGAACGAAGGGTAAGATTCTGTAGTCCATAGAGAGTCAGTTAGTCTTAAGTTAAGTAAGGGGGACGTCTAAGTTGTGAGGAGTAGAACCGTTATTTGGTTGTGCATCTATCACCATGGTTGACACGCGTACCGGAAAGAGCACCTCCCCGTATACAGCAGAAGAGGAGGCAAAAGTCGCCGCCATCCTCAAAGAGAGAAGAGAGAAGGAGGCCAAGAAGAAGGCCCTGATGGAGGAACAGGCGCCGAAGATGAAGAAGATTGAGGAGGAGATGGCCAGAGAGAAAGAGAGGTTGAAGAAAGAAGAAGAGGAGAAGTTAAAAGCGATAGAAGAGGAGGAAGAGATAAAAGAAGAGCCACTGGAAAGGAGAAGAAGGGAGCAAAGAGGGGAATCCAGTGGAACAAGAGATGACCAACTGGAGAAGAAGATCACAGAGTGGGTTGCAAATTTATCCCTGGGAGAAGAAGAAGAAGCGTTAATGTATGTACCCAGGGAAGAGCAGGAGGCGGTCGTGAAGGAGTGGGAGGCAGAAGAAGACCCCCTCAAGCGGCAGGCCTTGGAGGATGAGACGAGGATGGAGTGGAAGCTACGGCTCATGAGGGAGAGAAAAAGGAGAATGGAGGCAGTGAGTCAGGCAGCAAAGGAGCTGGAGGAGGTAAGGAAGCAGAGAGACCAGATGGCGACACAGATGGATCTCCTGGGGAAGGTGGAAATCATGGCAAGGAACATCGAGCGCCTGACACAGGCACAGGAAGAGCAATATCAGTTTATTAGAAGTCAGGACATTGCCCTGCGCTCGATACGGCTGGGATTCCGGGAGTTCGCAAGGGAGTTAGTGATGCAGGTGGGCTCAGAAGTGAAGGCCCGCCTGGAGAGCACGGAGCGTTATTGCACCGGCGCCATAGACGGCGCCAGGCTGGCCGCACCAAAGGGGGAGGAAGCATGCCCTCGTAGAGAGCCTGTTAAAGTCAAGTTCCCCGATTCCTACAGAGGGAAGAAGGAGGAGAACCTCGACAATTGGGAGGCCAACGTTAAAACGTATGTGCAGTTACAGAACGTAGCTCCCGATGAACATGTCCTGATAGCCATTCACGCTCTTAGGGAGGAAGCAGCAAGCTTCGCCCGTTCCCTGTGTTGCGCCGCCAACTGTAGTGATGATTTGGTGGCCTACTCCTCTTTCACTCCCCTCGGTGACTTCCTTAAGTTACTGAGAGAATGGTTTGCAGACGTCACCCGTAGTGTCAAAGCTTCAGACACGCTGCAAACCATCCATTCTCGTCAATGGAGGAGTGCCAGGGCACTCAAGGGTGTTATGGACGAGTTGGTTGCCGTTCCTGACCACGGGGTCACTGAGACCCAACTGGTCAACCTCTTTTACCGCGCTATGCCCGAGCAGTTACGCGGGCATTTCTTTGAAAAGAGCCAGCAACCTACCATGACCTACGATTCACTCAGCAGGGAAGTGGTAGCGTTCGAAGCACGGCCTGCGTCAGTTTCCCCTTTCTAGCATAAGGACCTGAATAAGGGCAAAAAGTGGAAGGGTCGCACTATCTCGGGGCAGATCAAGACCAAGGATCATTTGCTCCTTACGTTAGATGAGGGTAGTGTGGAGAAAGTCCCCTACAAGCAGATTGAGTGGGGGCTGGAGGAGGAGGACAGTAGTGACAGTCAGGGGAGGACTTACGCTGCTGTCGCGGCCGGAGGGAGGCCGCAAGGTAGAGGAGGTGGCCAGGGCCAAGGGGGCCGGGCCTCAGGTGACCGTTCCCAGGGCGATCAGGGGGTTGGCGGTAGAGGAGGAAACCGCCAAGCGGGAGGAAGGGGTCAAGGTCCCCCGCAAAAACCGTTCTGGCAACCGTTCACCTAATAGGTGTAATAGATCACCCTATAGGAGAGGTGGTTGGCACCCAGGTCTGCCACAAGGCCGACCTTGGGAGGATTTGGGCCTGGACAAGCGTGTCTGGCAGCAGCGTGTGGATCAGGGGCAATGCGTATTTTGCGGTGACCCTGGATACATCATTCGATATTGTCCAAAATATAGAGAGGCGCAATGGGCTGCCTAACAGGCAAAAGGCAGCCGCCGGTAGGGGTCGCAACTGCCCCTACCATAAGGCCATGTGGGAAAACGAGCGCGAGCCGGCAAGAAACTCCCATACCACATGAGCCTATGTCAGAGGTTGCAGGCCGGTGCCCAGATAGCTGTCCAGAGAGCTTGTGTTAAAGTCTCTCTAGGCACCTCCCTCACAGGGGTGGCCGATGAGTTGAAGGAAAGAATACCCGCCCGGGCCAAGATGAAAAAGGAGAGTAAAGGACAACTAGTTTTAGTAGATGTAGAAGTTTTTAGAAGTAGAGTAGGAGCCCTTATAGATTCAGGGGCTACCCGCAGTTATATTAGCCGTAAAGCGCTAAAGAAGCTGAGGCTAGGGCTGAAAGTCCAGAAGTTAGAAGACCCCATAGTGAGTGTCCTCGCAGACAACCGCACTATGCGTGTTGAGGACTACGTAGAGGGAGTCCAGGCGTATTTCCGCCTAGAGAAAGATGGGAAGGTGGAGAAAGTTCTCCATTCCCTGACTCTCCTCGTACAAGACGACCTTCCTTTTGATGTAGTCCTAGGTATGGACTGGGGCGAGGCAGCAGGGGCCACACTCCATCTGAGAGAACATGAGTGCAGGCTCCCGAGTCTGTCAGGCGAGGTTAAGACTGCCCGTCTGTTCCATGCGTCAGGTGTAGACAATACCCTGGCACATTGCTGTCTCAGTGCTTTTGCGTTCACACGGTTAGTGAAAAAGGAGAACTTAGAGGAGCAGGTCTTCGTAGCTTACATAAGGCCTATCACTGAGCCGAAGGAAGAGAAGCCCGTCGACCCAGTTATTGCCAAGCTGCTGGAAGAGTTCAAAGATTTAGCTGAGCCGCCGACAGGAGTAGTACCGCGGCCCATCCAGCACCGCATTGAGATTGAGCCTGGCAGTAGGGCTCCCAAAGGAGCGGTGTATAGAATGTCCCCGCGGGAGTTGGAGAAGCTACGCAAGCAGTTAGACGAGCTCCTAGAGAAGGGTTGGATTAGGCCCAGTTCGTCTCCATTTGGAGCACCTGTTCTATTTGTCCCCAAGAAGGAGGGAGAGCTTAGAATGTGTATTGACTATAGGGGTCTCAATGCCATCACAGTGAAGAATGCAGAGCCACTGCCCCGTATAGATGATCTTTTAGATCGGGTGCAAGGATGCAAGTATTTTTCGAAAATAGATTTGAAGTCCGGACATCATCAGATAGAGGTCCATCCCGATGATCAGTATAAGACCGCATTCCGGACTAGGTATGGGCACTACGAATTTATAGTCATGCCCTTTGGACTAACCAACGCGCCAGCGACTTTTCAGCGTTGTATGAATGACCTGTTTAGGCCGTGGTTAAATAGATTTGTAGTAGTGTATCTAGATGACATTCTAGTTTTTAGTAAGACCCTCCAAGAGCACCAGGGTCATCTGAGGCAGGTCTTGGAGAAGCTGAGATAAGCTAACTTCAAGATCAACCCGAAGAAGTGCGAATGGGCAAAGACCCAAGTTTTGTACTTAAGCCACATCTTAGACGGAGACGACATTAAGCCAGAGGATAGCAAAATCGCAGCGATTAGGGATTGGCCTACGCCCCGCACGCTGACAAAGTTGCGATCGTTCTTAGGCCTAGCGAACTACCACAGGAAGTTTGTGAGAAACTTCTCTACCATCGCTGCACCCCTTCGCGGATTGCTAAGGAAAGAAACAATCTGGAAGTGGGATAAGGATTGCACGTCTGCCATGAAAAAGTTGAAGCAGGCTTTGATAGAGTATCCAGTTCTTAAGGTCGCCGATCCGTCCTTACCTTTCGTTGTTACCACTGACGCGAGCCAGTATGGTATAGGTGTTGTACTACAGCAAGACGATGGCAACGGCTATAGACCCGTAGAGTTCGTGTCTGCTAGGATGCCTTCAGAGAGAAGGTAGCGACATCCACCTACCAGAGGGAACTCTACGCTCTCAGGCAAGCACTAGAACACTGGAAGCACTACTTGCTTGGGAGGCACTTCAAAGTCTATTCAGACCACGAGACATTAAGGTGGCTGAAGACGCAGGCCAAGATGACACCTAAGTTGACTAGGTGGGCCGCCGAGATAGACCAATACGACTTGGAGCTCAAGCCAGTTAAGGGCAAGTACAATCTAGTTGCGGATGCTCTAAGTAGGAGGTCAGACTACTTTGGGGCGATAGTCCATTATTTGGATATAGGGAAGGACCTGCAACAGAAAGTCAGAGAGGCATATGCTCATGATCCTATCTATAACGACCTCCTTAAGAGAGTAAAGGAGGCCCCAGAGACCGAGCCACATTACCGCACTACAGAAGGTTTGTTATTTGAGAAGACTAATGTAGTAGACCGCTTGTGCGTCCCCAACAGTGAAGAGATTCGTAGCCTGATCTTAGGGGAATGTCACGATACTGAGGGGCACTTTGGTTGGCAGAAGACCTTAGCCAATCTGATGCGCACGTACACTTGGCCAGGGATGAAGAATGACTGCATAGAATATGTCCACAACTGTAAAGTGTGCCAGAGGAACAAGACCACCACACGTGCCCCTCTAGGTCTTCTCAGACCCCTGCCTATTCCTGACCAGCCAGGAGACTCAGTGTCCATTGATTTCACGGACACCGGCATCAAGAGTAGGCATAGTAAGAGCCAAGTCATGGTCATAGTAGATAGATTTAGCAAGTATGCAGTTTTTGTTCCGTTGCCTGCGGAGGCACGTACAAAGTTAGTAGTTCAGAAGTTCTTTGATCATTGGGTCAGTGAACACGGGATTCCGCTGTCTATAGTTAGCGATAGAGACACCCGGTTCACTAGTCAGAACTGGCAGGAGTTGATGAGAGTATATGGCTCAAAGCTGTTGATGTCATCTGGTCGTCATCCAGAGACTAACGGTCAGACTGAGCAAATGAATAAGCTCCTACAGCAAGTTCTGAGAATGTACATTAGACCTGATCAGACTAACTGGGATGAGATGCTCCCAAAGGTAGCCAATGCCTAGAACAACAACGTGCACCTGTCCATGTGTCGCACTCCCAACGAATTACACAAGTCCTTTAGACCACGCAGACCGTTTGAGGGACTTAACCGGGATCAGATTCATAGGCTACCGCCTGGTACTAGGGAGTTTGCGTTACAGCACGAGAAGGAGTTAGCTACCGTTGTAGAGAACCTCAGGAAGGCCCAGCATAGGATGATAGAGCAAGCCAATAAGCATCGTCGCGCGTCACAGTTTCAAGTAGGCGACTTAGTCTGGGTCAAGTCTAAGGAGTTTGCTCCTGAGGAGAATATCTCGCAAAAGCTATTGCCCGCGTATAGAGGACCGTGGCCAGTTCTAGAACTTAAGGGCAGAGAGGATGGACCGTCCTACACAGTAGAGATTCCAGCGCATCTCCACACCTACCCCGTATTTCACGCATCAAAGATGTTGCCGTGTGTCACAAGTCAACAGTTTCCCTCTAGAAGGTCCCATGATCCCTCTGGATATGGATGGAAGATATGACATTGACGGCATTGTAGGTGAGGATATATTCAGGACAGGAGGTAGAGGTCGTCCTCAGAAACAGTACAAGGTTCGATTCGCATATCAGGAACCGGAAGACGACCGCTGGTTTACCAGAACTGAACTTCTAGAAACAGCTCCCGACATAGTCAGGGCCTACGAAAGAGATAGAAAAGGTAAAGGTCCTGCCTTGGACTGAGATATTCTCGGAGGACCTCGAATTTAGGCCGGCGGGAGTGAAACGGTTTTCACCTTTGCAGAGGCAGATGCAGATCCCGGGGTTTGATCCCCAGACCTTACCTCACCCATGTACAGTATCGAGTTGACCTCTGAGTGTTTGAACCCGTGACCCGTGACCTGTGTTTCGTGAGTTGTTGTTTGTCTGTCGTAGGACTGTGTGGACATAGGGATTCGATCTGTAGACCTGTCGAGTAGAGGTCTTAGAGAGTTCCAGAAGTCGTAGCTGTAGATGTTCTGAAGGGTCAAAGTCGTAGCTGCTACACTCCTGAGAGGTCAAGGTCGTAGCTGCTACAGTCCCGAAAGGCCAAGTCCACAGACTTCCGGAAGGTCCGGAAGTGGCCTTTCGCAGCTTGCTCACGTTTTAGACTGAGGCAAGTGGGCAAGTGGGCAAGTGGGCAAGTTGTGGACCAACTGCAGTACGTTCGTAGTACGATAGCGGTAGGTTAGCAGTGTGTCCCCAGGCAGTCAGCAGTACGGTCCAGTCAGTCCCAGTCCAGTCCAGCAAGTACCATGAGGGACTGTGTGTACCATGGGCCGATGGAAAGGGGCAGACCAACGAGTTACAGAAGTATAAATCAAGAGGCAGCGCACAGCCATTCATTCATTCCTGCGGAAGCCATGCGGAAGCGCTGCCACGGTGACTTGTGCGAGGTGGTCTGCAGAGGAGCCTGAAGTCGAAGTGGGCTAGAGGGAATTAGCGCAGCCATAGCTGCTTGTAGAGTAGAGTTAGTTGGCGGCCATAGCTGCCATAGTTAGTAATAGGTGTGCATTCGTGTGTGTGCAGAGTGTGTGCGTGGGGTATCCCGGGTGATTCGGAGTTGAAGCGTGAAGCGAACAGGGGTGTTGGACACAGAGACAAGAGTTGCGATGTGTGGGTGAGTCTGATTGCATCTTCCTCTTCTTCTTCATCTTCTTCTTCCTCATCTTCTTCTTCTCCTACTTCCTCCTCCTCCTCCTCCTCTTCCTCCTCCTCCTCCTCCTCCTCCTCCTCCTTCTTCTTCTTCTTCTTCTTCTTCTTCTTCTTCTTCTTCTTCTTCTTCACGCTACTGAACAAAATAAAATTGGATGATTGGACAGGGCGGTGTCAGGGCCTCAATTTCCGGGAAAAGACTTCTTTCTTCTTTTTCTTCTTCCTCCTTATTTTTAAAGGGCGGTGGCCTTGAGCTATCATCATTGAACTGTTTGGCCCCAGGGAATTCAGAATTATTTTGTTCTGCTCATCTGATTTCATCTGGACTAGAACTTGGGTCTGTATTTCGACAGCTCATGAGTGTACCAACTGAGCTAGGCCTGTTGGTGTTGGTTCTTCTTTCAGATGTATTTCACCTTCTCCGTTCGTCTATTACTTCATCTACACCTCATCTTCGATCCAACCTTTCCTCACTTATTTGTCCCTGAACTTATCTTTCTTCTCATTCACTGCACTCAGAATGGCCTTTCGCTGTGCATAGGTGGGTGTGTCCCATCTTGCTCCTGGGAAGCATCAGTCTGGTTCCACCTATTCCACTGACAACTCATCAGAATGCGTCTATTAGACTATTACGCCCATGCATCTAAAGGCTCCCATCTGAGCACGAAGTGGCAGACGTGAACTTCCGACGTCTTATTAGCTAATTAGTAATTAACTTTCACTTTTTTGTATTTGGATAGGTTTTGTTTTGGCTTCGTTTGGATAGGTTTCTGAACTTCTGTCCGATGAGGCTGGGCCGCTGGGAGTTCCAGTGTGCCAGAACAAGGCAAAAAGAAAATTGCCACTGCTGTGCACCTTTGGGTCTGGGTAACGCCCTCACTTCGCTTTGCTGCTCCCGGCCTTATTGGGACGAAGCATGTTGGTATCGTCGACGGACTGTGATGACTTGGGCGATGTGCCTGAGGATGGAAAGAGGAGCCATGGCCTTCCGGTCATCTTGTCATTTGAGGATGGAAAATGGAGCGACAGAAATAGGAAATGGAGTGAAGTGCCTGATTCAAGAAATATAAGTTTTCGTTTTGCTGTTCTTTTTGAAAAAGGGGACAGCCCTTGACATCAGTGCATCCGTCAGGAATTGAACAAACTCATGATCAGTTCATCAACACTGTATGTAGCATTCAGCCAAATGCCAGGTACAGTTCCCCTTTTTCTTTGTCTCTGGCGTAAAACTGCCACCTCCTGTCACTACAGAGAGCCTGCTGTCCGGTGTCTGGACGCCGGACCGTAGGAGGCCCATCCGGAAGGGGCCAACACCCCGAAATTCAAAACAAAAAGGGGGCACCCTAGACCTGTTCCTTGGGTCCAGGGCGCCCCCTGAAAAATGTTTTGATGATTTTTGGGGCCGGTATCAGCCGTACAGGGCAGCCCGACCGGCCCCTTTTCGACTTGCATCCTGGGCAGACCGTTGGAGGCTGAGCGCAGTTCCCCAGTGACAAAGGGAAGAAAGGGCGGACCTAGGCACTTCAGAGTGCTTTCCTGCCCACCTGCCGCCGCCACACATGCACACACACACACACACACACACACACACAGAGGGAGAGGGAGAGAGAGCCCTCGTTACCATTGTGGACTGGTGCGCACATGCAAGAGAGAGAGAGAGAGAGAGAGAGAGAGAGAGAGAGAGAGAGA